GTCCCCAAACTATATTGTCTCCTGCAGGCCTCTCCCCTCAGAAAAATAACACCAGAAACAATCTGACACTTTTCTATTTGACAGAAGGTTGCTCAGCTTGAACAAAAAACAAAAAGAGAAATCAACAACAGCAACATCTGTGAGATGCAGTGTGGTAACAACAGTCTGTTTCTGTTCTCCCTCTGGAATTTATGCCAGACCATCTTCATATTTTCGTATCCTTGAAGATAAAACCTCTGAGGTAGAATGAGTGTGCAAGAAAACAACAACACAGGACACCCTGAGGCTGTAACAGCATCATCATTTAGAAGCAGGGATGCTTAAAGGAAACTTCACTCACAAAGTGACCATTTGTACATCAATTACTCACCCCATGTTACAATGGATTTGTGAAGAAAATTTTGTGTTTCATCTGTTCACAAACTCAACTTGTGCAGTATCATCCAAGTCTCATTTATTTAGTCATATGCTTAGTACTTCCCACACATGCATTTTCACTAAAAGCTTACACTTTAAAGCCCGGTCCACACAAACATGGCTCATTTTTGGCCTTTCGTCTTCACACAAACGACATTTTAGGTCACTAACAATGAACCTTTTGTGAAAATCCATCCAGGGTGAAGAGTTTCAGAAACTCAGTTTTCAGAGTTGCTGTGCAGAAGAGGAAAACAGGTTTTTCGGCTTGTGACTTCAGAGTGAGTCCATTAGGATCTGAATCTGAGGATATTATGTGATGTGTTCATGGTCATGACTGTTTGGTGAGCTTTTATGTGCCGTGTGTGTAATTATATGTCTAATTTATGTGTGTACTTCTTAAGTGGAGTTGTCTGAGGAGGCAAAACGGATTTGGGTGTAACAAAGTAATATCTTAACGTATTGTATCGTATTGTATCGTATCGTATCTCCTATGTGTGGCGTTGCAAGTGAGGCAACATTTTGTGCAATGGCAGACATAGCCAAAAGAATGACAGCTCTAACCTCACTAATAAGACTTTTTACACACACAGTGGAGCGTGCAAAATGAATTTCAGTGTAATATAGTAGTATTGTATTGTATTGTATCACATCATATCGTATCTCCTTTGTGAGGCGTTGCAAGTGAGGCAACATTTCGTGCAATGGCAGACATGGCCAAAAGAATGGCAGCTCTAACCTCACTAATAAGACTTTTTACACACAGAGTGGAGCGTGCAAAATTAATTTCGGTGTAATGTAGTAGTATTGTATCTTATCATATCGTATTGTATAGTATCGTGCTGTATCACGACATATTGTATCGTATCGTATTGTATCTCCGTTGCAAGGCGTTGCAAGTGAGGCAACATTTTGTGCAATGGCGGACATGGCCAAAATAGTGCTGCCTCTAACCTCACTAACAGGACTTTTTACACGTTTACACACAAATGTACAGTTCCTCTTCACTATATTGAGCGTCAGAATGTGCTACGGAGGTCACTGCTCCAGGTATTCCTCTAGTAATAGCTTTTTTTCAGGCTGCTGACTCTCCAACATCTTATCCTTCTTTGCGTGGCTTTAGTTAGAGTTATATCAGCACATGTTAGTTTGGCACGATCTTGACAGCACTTCATGACAATGTGTGTCCACGGGAATTGTTTTTAAAGGACATTGGATGGGAAGACCCAGCTTACAAAAATATCTGTGTCCATGTCCATTTAACAAAAATGCATGCGTTTGGGAAGTACTGAGCATACGAATGGATACATGAGACGTGGATTCACTTCATGAGTTGTGTGAAAGTTTGTGAACAGATTGATGAAGTTTTGTTGCTGTTATACACAGACTCATCAAAGATTGTTCACCATTTTGGATTATTTGTTCACTGTGAAGACATACAACAAAAAAAAAGTTTTCTTTGTGAGTTCAACGTTAGACTCTGTGAGTAACTGATATACAAATGGTTATTTTGTGGGTGAGGTATCCAATTACCATGATTAATGGTGGGAGTGATTTTAAGGCTAAAAGGATCGTTTTAATTTCAAGTACCACAGAACCTAACGACTCTCGCACAGTCTGCAAATAATTCATCCACTGTCTACCTGTCCATTCCTATTCAGAGGCACCAAAGACTATCCCAGCACACACTGGGTAAAATACAGGTAACCGTACATGGATACCACATAAACAAACACAGTCACATCTGTAAAAAGTTCAGCGTTTCTAGTCTGTAGACTGTGCGATTAAACTGGAGCACTGAGAATAAAGTGTAAAACATGCAAACTAGAGCTGACACAGTTGGAAAATTAATCAGCAACTATTTTGATAATAGATGATTAAAAATGCCAAACATTTTAATGTTTCTGTGTTGAGACTTCCTGCTTTTTCATCTTACACCATAGTAAAATAAAAATCTAAACGTCAGTAGCACGCACCTCCATCTTAACTGTCTAACAGCTGAAGACGGGATGAGTGCTGCGCTTCTACTTTCAACATGGAAAGTCTCTCAATCTAAAACTCCATCATATCAGTTCAGTCAATTGAAACACAATTTAGAAGCATTATACACATACACACCACCACCAGACAGGCAACAGAAGGTCGGTTTTCACTCTCTAAGGCAAACACTAATTTCTTCAAACACACAGTATAAAGCAATGAAAGTATGGAGTTCTTCACTGTGACTGACCAAAGTAACACAGAATACAATGTTTAGAAAGCAAATAAAACTACACTGGGAAGGTTTATTTTTTTCATATATATACATAGCATATATCACAGTGGTTCCCAACTGGTTCAGCAATGGGGTCAGGATTTCTTCTTAGTAATTGGTTCAAAGTCCACACAGTCTGATATATTAAGCGTCATACTTACATTTGGCCGTGTCGTTGCGCTAATTTGCTGTCTTTGTCAAGTGGCTGTATGTTAGTCACTTACTTTACAGCAGGAAACAGCACTTCAGAAACACAGCTCTGTGCTAGAAATTCACTGTACTTAAAAATAAAGTGTGTTTTTTACAAACGTGACACATTTGTGAGTCACTTGCAGAACGGACCCGCGACCCACTTTTGAACCCCACCCCCCCAGTTGGGAACCACTGAAATATCACATATTGTATTCATGGTCTGACTTTAACTTTTGTATGTTTTTAAATGTGTTGATTTTTTCGGACTGTAATATACAATGTATTTTTTTAAAGGTGGACCCCAGGAAGATTAGCGGTGCTTTAGGGCCCAGCTGTTGGGGATCCTAACAAATAACTGAACAAACACGTGTAAACTCCTCATAGAGAAGACCAGGGCTTAGACCTCCTTTCTGCAAACAATTCTATTCATTGAGCCACTCCACAAAATCATTTTGGTCAAATCTTCGGCACTGATCTTGACCTCTCTTGATAGTCATCTTAAAGTAATATCAATAGCTTCATACTTCTAAAAAATACTTCATATCTTGTAATCTGAGCAGTCCCTTTGCTGCTGCATTGAACTACAAGACAAAGAGCAGTTGAGTTCGTCAGTTTAGTCAATCTTTAAATTTGACCCTTGCAGTCATGTAGACTGTAGATCTGATTATACACTGTATCTTTCCTGAGAGATTCAAAGTCAATTTAATTATTGCTCCACTGAAACACTGCACCATTGCCGGAAATGGCTGCCCATGGTTTTATACAGGGGATTGATGTGAGCATTTGGTCAGCTCGCAACATCTATTGCATGTCTGTCCGTCCTGGGAGAAGGATCCCTCCTCAGCTGCTCAGGGCCCAACGATAGAGGGATGTTGTGTGTTATAAAGCCCTCTGGCACAAATTGTGATTGCGATATTGGGCTTTGTACATACATTTTTGAAATTAAACTGAACTCTATAGTTTAGGCCAGAAATCCAAACTCTGAACTAAAAGCAGCTTCAAACTGTGAGCTGCTGAGTTGGCTGATTAGTCTACATTACACTACAAGTGAGCATATCGCATTACAGATCCATATTAGCATCAGAAATACACTGCTCGGCCTAACACAAATGTCTCCCTGCAAATGCACCGCAGTGATTCTTCTGTGTATGTGTCTTGCTTGTGAAGTTAGTGCCTCTGCTGCCTGTCTCACACTCACCATAGTGTCACCACAGTGAATACTACTTTTTGAGACATAATTATTTGTCAGCTTTAACCATAAATACACTGCATGTCTGATCCAAACTGCTCCTATCAGTCATTTACACATGTGCGTCCACTCCTTCGTCTCTGCACTTCCTTTTGTCTCCTTGCACAAGTGTTGACAGAGACTAGAGGCTTGGCTATGATGTCAATAAATCGCTTGCTGATGCTATTTAAAAATAATGAGCTCACGTGCTCTGCTCTGCCTCTCCTCAGCTCTCTGTAGCATCCCATCAGCCCCACCGCAAGCAGAAATAAACCCAGCTATTAATATTTACATTCCTCCTCTGCATTGTTGTTTATGGGGCTGTTCTGCAGACCAGCAATGGAAAATCTATTAGTTCCTGTCTGTGCGGTCGCTAGATGGCGCGCTGCCTAATTTCCTCTGTGTTTTTTAATCGCTGCACATTCTTTGAACCTTTACCATGATGGCAAATAAAGCTGATGTGGGCGACAGGGCCCGGGCCAGCAGGCCTCTGCCTTCACCTGTACACACTCTGATCATGTGTGGATGTGTATCATTTGTTGTGGCACACTTGGCTCTTTCACATGGCTGCAGTTATTTATCCCCATGAATAATACACGCTTATTATGGCAAACAATCATAACTGCTGACCCCTTCCGAGCAGCGGTGAGCACCACGAGGATGCATTGCATGCTTTTAATTAGTGGATTAAATTACATGAAGCATGCAGGCATAGTGGAAGCGTTTTTATTTCTGTGCTGTAAAGCTAAACCTGACCAACACGTAGTGCAGTGACAGCCGCTGCACTGAGCACAGCCTGCTGCTGCTGCTGCTGCTGCTGATGATGATGATGATGGGGGTCTCACACAGGCTGCAGGCCGACCGGACCGACCGCCGCGATAAGTAACGCTACTAAAAAGAAACATCACTTACATCAAGCGTGGCAGTCCCGTAGTGTGTTCATCATTTATGCGCAGCGGTGTGAGGCATCCTCATGTCTGTAGTGGCCCGAGTAGCACGACCCGCTGCGTTGGTATGATCCAGATGTGTAACACCTTCCCTGCCTGCTCGTTTGCTCATGTATATACAAAGAAAAAGAAAAAAGGATAAAAAACAGAAGAGACCAGGCTGGAGGAGAAGATGCACACAGCTCTGCCGGACTTTAGATGAACAGATAAATAAATAAATGTCATCGGGAGTGCTTGGCTAACTCAGCTGGCGTCACGTCTGAGCGTGTGTCACTCTGAGCTGCGATGCGTGTGTGAGGAGACACTGACGGGGAGGTGGGCTCTATTGTCTCCACTGTGGATGACATCATCCCAGACCAATGGCGAAACACACGGGATGAAAGGCTCAGGGGCGAGCACGCAGCACGTGCGGGCTGGTGGGGGAGGAAGAGGAGGAGGGTGAGGAAGAGGAAGAGGAGAGGGGTGATGTTGAACAGACAAACAACAACAACAAAAACAACAACAACTCTAAATCACTTAAAACTGAGTAATTATTAAGTTGTTATTATTATTATCATTATCATTATTATTATTAATATTAATAATAATAATAATAATAATAATAATAATTATTATTATTATTATTATTATTATTATTATTATAATACATTGGTTTTATATAATCAAAGACGCTTTACAGAGAACAAGAACCACTAAACAAACAAATAAAATTTAAATAATCAATAAAATAAAAATAATGAATAAAATAAAACATGAATAAATTGTAAAATAAAGTAGTATAACCATATACAGATGTGTGAACACTTGGAAAAAAAGAGCAACTAAGTTAATATGGGATGTTAGGATTTAGAGCGAAATACTGGCAGAAATGACATTTAAAATAATCAGTACGTTTTCTTTGGTATGTAATTATGGAGGCGAATTGGTGCCACATCAGGAAAAAAAAAATGGATCAGTATTAGTCTACGTTATAATGTGAAAAGTTTATTGTTCTAACGAGAAGTTTTTCACATTATAACAATATAGTTTCATGTTAAAACGTGATAACATATTGTAAAAACGTGAAAATTTATATTGTAAGAACATGAAAAGTGTCACGTTATAACAATATAGTTTCATGTTATCTGTGTTTTGGGCCATGATGCCTGTTCATCGTAAGTAGACAAGTGCCATTTTACAACCAGAGTATGAGTGCACCTCCTCCCGAGACCAAATATTGCATTATAATGTGGAACTTTTAATGTCCTAATGTTTCACACTCAGAATATAAATTATCACGTTATAACGTGAAACTTTTTACGTTTTTACAATATAAATTTTCACGTTTTAACTTGAAAAGTTTCACATTATAACATAAAAATATATTTTAATGTGAAAAACTTCTTAGAACAATAATCTTTTCACGTTATAACGTAATACTGACCCATTATTTTTTTCCTGGTGTGGCAGCAATACACTTTTGTAGTGTAATCACCTGAAATAAGAATTGTCGTGATTTTGTTTCCGTAAATGAGCTGTTTAGCCAGTCCGTGTCCATGTTGCATTGCCATGTTTCTACAGTAGCCCAGAATGGACAAACCAAACAATAGTTCCAGATGGGGCCATTCACGTTTTTGCTTCTCACTCCGACCTTGTCATGTTTGGAATTTGGTCATGGACACCTGGCCCAAAAATACTTTTTCCCATAGACTTATACATTTTTGAGCGTCACAATCCCAACATAATCATTAGCAAAGGGCTGTACTAAAAGTTAGCCGCTTGGCTGACAAAAGTCTCTGGTACACCTCACTGTAGGTCCAACTAACACATTCTCACTCTGACCTTGACATGAATTGACATTTGGTCATAGACACTTGGCCCAAAAATACTTTTTCCCATAGACTTATACATTTTTTAGTGTCACAATCCGAATATAATCATTAGCGAAAGGCTGTACCGAAAGTTAGCTGCTTGGCTGACGAAAGTCTCTAGTACACCTGCACTGTAGATCCAACCAACACATTCTCACTCCAACCTTGTCATATATCGACATTTGGTCATGGACTTTCCACGTCGCGATATGACCATTTTGGCCATGCTAGTGGTCCACCACTTTGGTGTTGACTGAAATATTTCAAAAATTATTGGATGGATTGCCATGAAATTTTGCACAGACATTATACAGGGATGACTCCAAGCCCTCAGGAACAGCACCGGGCTTTAGAGCCAATCTGAGGTAATGGCTAAACTGTCTGTCATGTGAGAATACATGGCCTAAAAAGACTTTTTCGCATAGAATTATCTAGAGGGTACATATTTTGAGCATCACAATCCCAACATAATCATTAGTGAAGGGCTGCACCGAAAGTTAGCATCTCGGCCGATGAAAGTCTCTAGTACACCAACCAACACATACTCAAACTTTCCACCCCCTTAACTTTCATTGTTGACCGTCTGCATTTCCTCCTGACTCCGCCAGGCACCATTAAACAATAATGGTGACCGGCCACGTATCATGTCGATGTGAAAGGATGCCTTTTTTCATTAGTGGTTGTCAACAACTTCAGAGTGAGACCGGGTTAAGTTAACAGCCCTTCTGCGATGAGCAGCATCTGAAAAACACTGTTTCATTCAGTGTTTTGACTAGTTTAAATCACTGGGTCTTTTTGTTTTGGAGATGAAGAGACCTCTGTGGAGAATTCATCTCACTGTAAAAACCTCCTGAATGTCTGTATCCTAAGTAATCAGAGAAAAAAGACGTAACAGGTTTTGCAGTAACAGGTTTTGCAGTATGCTGTTACTTGATTAAAGGATCTGATACTTTTTTCATCTTACTTAATAATAATATATATCTAATAATATATAACACATTGCAGAAATGTAAAAGAAATTTGTACCTTTCAAGAAGATCAGACAATTTTATTCTATGTTGATTCTGAAATGTGTCATCTATTGTGCATATTGATAAGTTGCGAATTAATATGTGACACTTTAGGAGTTGTCAGTTTTCATTATGAACGCTGTGCAGCTGCAATTATCCATAATTTTCTATTGATTTGCTGACTGTGTTCTCAGTTAGCTGACTGATTAATCATCAGTGGAGCAAGAAGAATTTCAATTACATAAAACTAGTAATAATTGATATATTATTCCATTAGCATTTCTAGTTCTGCTGTCAAAAATGTACTCAAATAAAGGTACAAAAAAATCACCAGATCATCAAAATATATTTCAAGCACCAAAGTAAAAGTACTTATTTAGTAGGATGGCCCCTTTAAGAGTTATACTACAGTATTATATTAGTGGAATACTATTACTGATGCATTAACCAAAGTAATGTAAGGTTTCTTACTTGGACTGATCAACAAAATGAAAATAAATAGATACAGAAATCCATTACCAAAATAAGCATAAACATTTTCTATAAGCTCATCAACTAACAAACTAATTACATTAGCACCAATTTTATCTTAATGATATTTGTAGGTCACATTCACTCTGTCTTTTAAACACACACACACACACACACATACACACACACACACACACACACACACACACATACACACACTCTGACATCATGATCTGCACCAGTGTATTATTTCTGGCAAAGCTGTCTTGGCTTGAGCACAAAAATCCACATTTCTCACTTCACAAAAAGAGATGATTGACACGGATATCATGCTGACCAGAAAATGATCTTCTCATTGTGTGAAATCATGAAGCCACCAATTCCAGACTAATTTTAGCAGCTAAAGCAGCAGAAGGAGTTTTTAACTGGTTATGAAACAGTTTTAATTTAATAATGATGCCTCTCTATGACCTGTGGAAACAAACAAGTCCACCAGCGAGAAGATTGGCATTTTAGTTCTGTGTTCTTTAAAGTTATTTTTAATGCCTGTCTGTGGTCCAATTCCCTACAAAATCAGATGAAGTGATTTATGGCACGCAGACTGGAAGAGCCTATGTTTACTTTTTGTACAAAGTTTGGCAATTAGTTGTAAGTTAGACAGTTCAAAGAGGCAAGAGGAGATTTTTCTTTAGAGAATTTTATTTTTGATGTTATATTTTGTGGTAATGGCTGAGACTGGGGCAGAATCAGCCAAGAGAAAAAATAAAATAATTGTCTAAAGAACAAAAACTAAATAAAATTAAATTAAATTAAATTAAATTAAATTAAATTAAATTAAAAAGGTAAGGTGACAGAGCACAGGCAAAAACACAAATCAGCAAGGTGTATGAACAAAGCTGACATTGTCATATTACAATTATTAATCTTATATAGCCACAAATAGATACATTCCCTCTTTACTATGCATCCTGCAAACATCTGTAAAATGGTTTTAAAAATAAGTTGCATCTTTTCTTTACTCGCAGCCAAAATAAAATCTAGCCAGATCGAAATTTTTATGAGGCAGTGGTGCTCATGTAAACAATACGGCTTTTGTCAACAGGGGCCGCCAAAATCACACAAAATTAAAGTTCCTCGTAGCTGCTTTAAAGTACAGGTAAAGCAAAAATTAATATGTGTAATGAGTTTGTCACACCACAGAATGATTGAAATGTCCAAGTACTTAAAATCAGGTTTCAAAATCATGAAAAAAGAGCAGTATTCTCTCCTCTGAGAGGCAGGGGGCGTGTTTGCTGAAGGAGCTGAACTGAAGATCGAGCCACTGCCAGGCTGCTCCAAGGCAAAGAAATCTTGTTAGGAGCTAACCCAGTAGTGCAAAGCACACATTCCCTCAGAGCTGAAGAACGAGCTGCCGCACAGCTACAGACTCTCCTTAGCAGCTTACCCGGTAGCATAGTAATATACACGACCCCCAACAAAAAATCTTGGATGCAGAAACGGTGAACAACATTTTGACGGTCTAACTCTACAATTCAGACATGAAGCTCTTGTGAAAGTTCAGTCAGGAAGACAATACATTTCATTCTTAGGCTGCAACATTTCTTTCCCACCCTGCCTTGCATACATGCACGCTCACCATCTGTAGGTGTCATCATCTGGGTAGGTCGCTTGATTCATCAGCAGATTCACAATCAACCAATATCACAGCAAAACACCTTCTCTATCAGCCTATCATCTTACTGCTCCTTATTTTGAATATGGTTCTTTCTCTGCCACAGGTCTTTCTTGCACCACCTAGTCTTAAGGGATTTATTAGCCTCATCCGCCTCAGCAGTCATCAGCCTCAGAGTCAGCAGCCACCACCACCAGTGTCTGGACTCCATGGGGGGGATTTATCCTGCTGCTGCTCACATGTCCCTCGATCACAAAATATCTCCCTCTGGTGTCCAAGTGTATGATCAGCACAAATCATCTGTTAATCTGGACGCTC